ATTTTTGACGCTCACCCGAAAAACGTTTACACCTCACAATATCGGTTTTCAACACTCACCGATCAACATTCACAATCACTCACAATATAATCACAAAACCTACAACCTCAAGTGTTGGTCCTCACATGTCGCCTCCCTCAAGTGTCCGACTTTACTACCTCTCCCTAGGCTATACTACCGATGCCACTCCTTTTGGTATCGACCACGTCCTCATCACACACTCCTCTCGGTGTACTTGTGTATTACAAGGTGAATCTCACAATAAAGGCTCAAATATAAGTTTTGCTCTCTATAATAGATGAGAACACAATGTAGGCTCACTCACTAAGTCACACTCACCACAACCCAAATTATACAATGTATAAAAATACTATAAGCTCAATGGTTGTGTGTGTAAACAAAGAGAAATGATCAAAACTAAACTCAATATGAAAATTTAGATTATAGAAATAATAATCAACAATAAATATAAATGAAGCTAGAAATTGAGTTTGGAAAAACTTCTCTAATGAACAAGAGGGAGAGATTGGAAGATTGATGGCCCAAACGTAAATGATCTCCTCTTGTGAAACATTGTTCACATAAACCCTCTTGAAAACAAACTTAAAACCAAACTTAAACACTTGTAAACTTGTTTTGAAACTCTCTTAAACATACATATGAAACAATGAAAGTTGAGGGCTTTTTATAGCCTCTTAAACCACCCAAAAACCTCTAAAAACTCACAAAAATAAAAACTAGCCGTTATAGGCTGAAAACATGTCACCAGTCGACTGATAATGTCATCGGTCGACTGATGAAGTCGACCGGTGACAGTTTTTGCAGATTCTAGAATTTTTGCGTAGCTAGCTTTATAAAATCAATTAAAAATAGCAAATCAACTCCAAAAATAATAAAATTTTGAGATATGTTTCTAAACATGTAGGTAAACATGTTAGAGAAAGAATTTCTAAAATACCACTTCCTATTTGTGAGAAATAAATATTTGAACACATATATTTTAGATTTTAAATACTGCTGAAACACCTGATTTTGTAAAATCAATTCAGCATAGTAAAACAATTCTAAAAATTATAAAATTTTAGGAAACGTTTGTAAACATGTAATAGAACATGTTAGAAAAAGAATTTCTCAAATTACATTTTTCATTTGTGAGATGTTATTTATTTTGTAAACTGTTTAAAATATGAAAATATATTTATATACGTGTTGTTAAATTTTCATGTTTATGTGGCTAAACACATTGTTTACCAAAACCAAAAATGATAAATATGAAACATGTATGTGTGTATATAAATAAGTATATTTGTTTCATATTTATATAAACTTGAAAACTATAAAACCAAAATGTGTATGTGTGTATATGATTGAGCTTAAAGTATTTACACACATAGTATAAACCCTAAACTAATTTACCCAAGCTTGATTTATCTTCAATGAGCTTGTCTTGGATGCGGATGAAGCTTGATCTTGAATATGACTTGAAGTGTAAATAGCTTCATACCGACTATTTTCGCCAACCTCCATTTGATATGATCGTTATGGCGCAATTCCATCCAACCTCCGACTAATGTTTATGTAGATTACCTAACAAAACAAATGCAAATACTAGACACACATTGTTAGGAATTATTTGTAATCATCAAAACAAGATTAGTAAGTATGCTCATAAATATGAGACCTAACAAGGTTAACAATATACGTGAACTATCTGTTGCTAACAGATGGATGGGAGCATGAAAGCTACGATGAAGTTTGTCAGAGTGGAGATGCGAGTAAGTGAGAGTTTCTCATGAAAGAAAAGATAAAATCTCTCATCTCAAACCAGACATGGGAACTAGCTAAGTTTCCTACGGGTAAGAAGACACTCCACAACAAATGGGTGTACCGGGTAAAAGAAGAGCATGATAGCTTTAGAAGATATAAAGCCCGACTAGTTGTCAAAGGATTCTAGCAGAATGAAAGAATTGGCTACACCGACATTTTTACTCCCGTGGTGAAGCTAAATACTATCAGGACAGTGATGAGTATTGTAGCTATTGAAGATCTATATCTCGAACAGTTAGACGTGAAAGACGACGTATCTTCACGGAGATCTAGAAGATGAGATATACATGCACCAGCCAGAAAGTTTCTCAGAAAAAAAGAAGAAGAACATGGTTTGCAGACTCAAGAAGAGCTTGTATCGCTTGAAACAAGCCTCAAGACAGTGGTACAGAAAGTTTGACGGCTTCATGTATAAGGAAGGTTTCCAGAAGTGCAACGCAGACTACTGTTGCTAATTCAAAAAATATCAGTCCAGTTATATCATCTTACTATTATATGTTGATGATATGTTGATTGCAGGTGCAGATATGGAGGATATCAGGAGTTTGAAGTAGCAGTTATCAAAAGAGTTTGATATGAAAGACTTGGGTCCATCAAAGAAGATCCTTGGAATGCAAATTATGAGAGATAAGAATAAAGGTCTCTTGCAGTTATCTCAGACAGAGTACATCAACCGTGTTTTACATAGATTCAACATGGGGCGACGCCAAGCCCGTCAGCACACCCTTGGCCAGCTATTTTTGCCTATCAAAGGATCAATCTCCTCAGTCAGATGAAGAGAAAGAGAGTATGACTAAGGTTCCTTACGCCTCAGGCATTGAAAGCTTGATATACGCAATGGTCTGTACAAGACCAAACATTAGCCATGCAGTGGGAGTGGTCAGCCGGTTTATGTCGAATCCAAAAAAAACTCATTGGAAAGCGGTCAAGTGGATTCTGAGGTATCTACGAGGCACCATACAGAAGTGTTTGCACTTTGGTAAGGAAGAGGTGGAAGTGTAAGGGTACGTAGATGCAGACTTCGGAGATGAAGTCAATCACCGAAGAAGCATCACCGGCTATGTATTCATTGTCGAAACTACAACTGTTAGTTGGATGTCACAGATACAAAAGATTATCACTCTATCCACTATAGAAGCTGAGTATATAGCAGTGACTGAAGCCAGCAAAGAGATGATATGGCTTCAGGATTTGTTAACAGACCTAGGATTCAAACAGGAGAAGAATGTTTTACACAGTGATAGAGTGCGATTCACTTGGCTAAGAATTCCGCATTTCATTCTAGAACGAAGCACATTGGGCTTCGGTACCACTTCATCAGATCCATGTTGGAAGATGACGTGTTAAATCTGGAGAAGATCCATGGAAGTAAGAATCCAACAGATATGTTAACAAAGACGGTGACCATTCAGAAACTGGAGTTATGCACAACTTTAGTTAGACTTCATGCATAGGTGATGAGGGCGGAGCTACACAGGAGAAGGTGCTTGTTGAGATAGCCTGCTGATGGTGGTTTGGTCTCTAAGTGGGAGATTGTTGGATTTGGGCGTGGATCCAAACCTCGACAAATATGCAGGCAAGGTCGACGACTTCTGACGAGCTCCTCAGGCGAGACGTGCTTTGTAGGCGAGCTCGAGGTCGACTTCAGGCGAGCTCGAGATCCAGGCGAGCTCGAAATCCGGTGCAGGCGAGCTCGACGAGGTGCATGCGAGCTCGGGTCGATCTAGGATAGGCGAGCGCGGGCGAGTCAGGCGAGCTCGAGGAACCCCGACGTAGGCAAGCTCGAGAAACTTCCGCAGGCGAGCTCGAGGCATCTCTACGTATGGCTGGCGACAGCCTGTCGCTAGGGTTTCCCTATAAAAGGGAAACCCACAGTTCACGATGTGTGGCTTCTTCTTCTCGTTTTCTCTTCCAGCGGCGACGACTCTCTCTCTTCTCTCGTGATCTCTTCTTTCTCCTTCAACTCACGTTGATTTTGAGGGAGGAATTTAAGAAAGGGAGAATTTATTGAGGGGAGAATTGAAGAGGGGTATTTAAGAAGGGAAATCATCACTGTAGCTACATTGTTGATTTGTATTTATTGAGAGATCTCAAGTTTGATATCTGCTCTTGCGTTGTAATTTCTTTGATTAATAAGAAATTAATTGTGTGGCTCCCGAGGACGTAGGCAAGTTTGCCGAACCTCGTAAATCTTGGTGTACTTTTCTCTATTGCATTATCTTGGTGTTTTAGGGGTTTAGCGTAGCCCCGGGTATTCCCCAACAGCTCGATGTTACACGATGTTGATATACAAAATAAACTTACATGATTGACTTTTTGAGATTGAACTTGATCGATAAGGGCCCCTCGATCAGATGAAATTACACAAGTAGGTCTTCGCGCCTAGGTATAGTTGAGTCTGCTTGGCTGGCCTGAGATCGCAGAACAAGCATCACATCGACGATGGTGATGAAACAATAGTGTATTCAAAGTGTAAAGGAGGTGAAACATTAGTGTATTTAAGTGCCATTTAGCCTTCCGAGAATCCTCACTTTATGGGTCTGATACGTGAAGGTCGTTATCGAACCTGCATCTAATGTGACCTAACAGAACAATATTAATCGATCTTCCCAGTTTGAACTCCTTGGAACAAAAATTAGAGTTTTATGGCTGTCATAATCACCTGCATTAAGATTGAAAAGAGGAGAAATACTTCAGAATATAGTACGTACAAAATTACATACTATATTTAAGAAGATAGTGGATTCATGTTTTTCGCTATGCAAAGTCTCAATTGTTGAACATTATAAGATTTGAATCCTGCACTCATTTTTTTGTTGTCCAGTCAATAGTCTAACCCTAGTAATATCGCATAACCACGAGATGTTCGATTGCATATCAAAAGAACCAGCTTGAAACTGTTGCAATAGCAACGGACAGATGAAAATCATGCAGGCTGCCATCTGCGATTAGCATCTCAACTGCTCTTCGAATTGCAGCTGCATGTATCGGTTACACACGGAACTCATGTACTTTGCCTTTTACCTGGCATTTCAACTGCACTTAGAATTGCGACCACATGTATGAGTTACTTCAAACCAAACAACTGTAGAAAATCAAAAGCACTCCAATCTCGCGCAGTTATAGTTGCAATCCCTTGCATTCACAACCAATCAATCATGCCACAGTTCGTAAGAATTAAAATCAGTAATTCATTGAACATTTTATTTGTACTGTGATCTGAAATCAACTTAACGACTTCCAGAAAATATGGTATTATCAACAGTAGATAGGAAAGCTGATAATGGGACATATCATCGAATCATTCACGATACCATTTGTGCTGACATTAAACGTGTAAAAGACATGAAGATGAGGTATATGTAAGAGGATTAACAGAAAGAAGAAGCTCCATCACCAAATCCATGAACGACTTCTGATTTCAATCCTGCAGCTTCCTACGGTTCTTCCCATTTATCCTCTCCAATGCGGTAACGACCGCATGGGATCCTAATTTCCCATCTCCGTTCGCCACCATCCCCAAATACAACTGCTGAAACAATGCAGTTCCAGGCAACGCCAACTCCGCTCCATCTAACGCCATTCCAAGATCCTTAACCAAGTACTCAGCAAACCCACCAGGTCCCAATTCTCTATTAATAATCCTCTCTCCAAACAAATCCGTGGCTTTGGATCCAGCAGCTCCCTCTCTAATAGCATCCAAGAACCCCTTTTCATCCAAACCCGCGGTTTTCGCGAATAGCAATGCCTCGCTCAGTCCCACTATGCTGCCGCTTATCGCGATTTGGTTGGCGATTTTAGCGTTCTGCCCGCTACCCGGCGGGCCCATGTAGGTGACTTTCCCTAGGATGTTGAAAAGAGGGGATAGACGTTGGATGATGGATTCCTCGTGCGCTCCAGCGAATATGGCGAGAGTTCCATCCCTGGCGCCTATGTCTCCACCGGAGACGGGCGCGTCGACCGCGTGGCAGTTTCTTGACCTGGTGTATTGGAAATGTAGATGTCGGTTTAGTATTTGACGGTCATTTTATAAAATCAAGAGACGGTACAGGGCGACCAGCGTTCAGATGTGCAATAACCAAGATAGAACGTAAGAGAAGACTTTATAAATCATAGAAGATCTTTGTAGACTTGTGCGGCTTCACTTCACTTGGAAGCTGTTTGGTTCAATGCAAACAAGTAAATTGTAGCAAATGTTGCGTTCGTTGTCTGTTGAAATGAAATCAATCTCTTCGAGTCTATCATTTGGATATTTGCAATTCTATCTTTGGAAAATATAAATGCGTTTTCAACGCAAATTCAGCATTTTGTTTAAAAATAATTGATGCAGAAACTACACGTCTTTTGCTATTTGTTTTGCTATTTGTTTTATCTTTTAAATTTAATTTCTTTTTTCCCTACATAATTTTCTACCGTTTACAGTCTTCACAGGGTTTCTCGGAAAATAAAATAAATAAATTAAAATAAACAGATCTTACCGAAGTAAAAGTAGTCTGGTAGATTAAAAACGAAAAAAAAAAAAATCGATCGATCAAATACGCGAACTGGCGCGGCAGCGCTGCGATGCGACGAGGCGAGCCGGCGGTCGCTGCTGCGTGGTGTCGACGACTGGCGGGCCCCTCCGGGAGGTCGGGGGAGGAGGCCGAGGAGGACGCGATCCGACGTCGGAGGCGGTGGCGAGAGCATGGTGGAAGACGACGTCGGAGGAGGCGGGCGGAGGTCGCCGGCGGGGAGGAGGCGAGGCGGCGGAGAGGCGGGTGGGAGTTTGGAGGGGCTGGCGGGGCCGTGAGCGGTGAGGATACGCTTGCGATTGATGGCGGGTTCGCCCATGGGGCGGCCCATTACACCCGTTCCGATCCATCCTACTCGGGTTACCCCGGGTCGGATTGGGGTTAATCCGGCAGTTTCCATGGACTGATCGGGAGTGGGGTGGGGAACGGAAACGGGCGAACTGGGACTCACAGGAGTGACGTTCTCGAAATGAATGGACTCATTCATAATTTCATTCCCCAAAATATATCCATTTCAAATTTATTTAGGGCCTGTTTGGTTATTTCTTAAAAAAACAAAAAATAGAAATGAAAACTAAGAAATCTCAAAAAGTACAATTTCACACATTTCCATCTATAAAACTCACCCACAACATCTAATAAAATATTATTTTTATCCAACAACTCATCCACCACATCTAATAAAATATTATTTTCATCCAACAACTTATCCATCACATCCACCACATCTAATAAAATATTATTTTCATCCACAACATCACTCAACTCATCTCATCTCATATTTAAAAATCACTTACATCATCCAATAAGATTGTGACAACTCATCTCATCTCATTAACATTTTATTTCTTTGTTTTCCTCCTAAAAAGCTAGGAAAACAATTTCCTTAAGTGTGAGTCACATCATCCAATAATATAATGACAACTCATCTCATCTCATCTATTTTCTTATTTTTAAGAAATAACCAAATAAAAGAAAACAACCTATTACAAGAAATAGGTTTCTTATAATTCATTTCCTTATTTTTTCCGCCAACCAAACAACATCAAAACAAGTTTTCTTAAAAAATCACTCACATCATCCTATAATAAGGTGACAACTCATCTCATCTCATCTCCATTTCTTTGATTTCCTTCTTTTTTTAGCCAACCAAACAATCCCAAAACCTATTTTTCTTAGAAATAGGTTTCCTTTTCTTTGATTTCCCTCTTTTTTTAGGCAAACAAACAGAGAATCGATCCAGTTTCAGTTACGCTAGCAGCGAGGACTAAAACTAGATCGATTTTTTTAAAAAAAATAAATATTTCTTTTAATTAGTCGAGGTTGTCAATTCTAGCTAATTAGATGCTAGTTTTGTTACGCGGGTTAGTAACGGGGGCTGAAACTACAGTTCAAAATAGTCACAGTTGCTAATCCCGACTATTTTGGAAGGTTAATTAACCAGGTTACTAGTTTGTGGGGGTTGGCAACCCCAACTACTTAGAAAGAAATCTTTTGACCTCGTTAAATTTATGCTGATTTTTGTGAATATGTTTGAAATGAGTCGATTTTGGTGAATAAAGTTATAAATGAGTCTGTTTTAAAAATTTCTCTGACTCAAAAATATCTCTCCAATTCTTTTTGGATAATTGCATTCAAATATCATATAGCTTCCCCTACTTTACACTAGCCCTAGCTTTTTTGTTTGGGGACACTTAAGTACACTAAAGCATCTAAATCTTGCACTTATATATTCTCCTCTCGAAAATTCTTATGCAATAATCACATGCTAATTTTAAAACTTTTATCCCTTTTTTTTAAATTTTTGAACATATTATAATTCTATTTTAAAATAGGATTTAGATATCTTAACAGTAAATTTAACAAAAATTAAGAATTATGTATAAAATATATGTATTTTTGATCGGTTTAATCCACAACCTTTACCCAGATACACATTTTTCGTAGGCCATATAAAGGTAAATTTGGGCTTTAGCGAGTGGGATTATAAGCAGGGCTGAGCATGGTTCGGTTCAAACCGAAAAAACCGACCGAACCGACCCGAACCGATCCGAAAAAAGCGGTTTTAAGAGTAAGGCGGTTCGGGTCGGGTTGACAACTTTTCAAACCGAACCGACCCGAACCGACCGAATATATTTCCAAAACTTTCAAACTCGTTCGCGTTTACCCGACCCGCCCCAAACCCTCAACCCTAACTAAAAAAACAAATACATGCTGGCATAGGGTAATAATAATATATAAAAGATAAATTGAAGTGAAGTTATACTTGATAAAGTTAGAACCGAACAAACCGAACCGAACCGCACCGAACCGATTTGCAACGGTTCGGTTCGGTTTTGAATTATAGGTGGTTCGGTTCGGTTGTTCAAATTTTGGTAAAAACCGACCCGAACCGAACCGTGCTCACCCCTAATTATAAGGACTCTTGGTATTCTGGGGGAAAATGATCACTGGGTATATTTTAGTAATTGACTGTTCTAGGCTGAGAACTAATCCAACTATATGGTTTACAAATTTGATGGAAAAAACAAATAAAAGGACTAAATTACAAGTACCCTTGGATCTTAAGATTCATTTCATCAATTTCAATAATTGCAATATTTAGAGAACTATATATAAAAATACCACAGAATGAGGTGATAGACTTATAAAGAAAGGGCCCGACTTGGTTTGAAAAGAAATAGCTAGAGTTTTATTTATGATGATAATTATATATAGACAAAAATGGTCGGTAAGTGTTAAATAATAATATATTTTAATTTACGATTGAAGATTATACTGATATACGATATTCTTATTATGACGATACAGTTTCGATGATTATAAAATTATATAAAGATTATGCTCATTTAAAATTCAAAAGCAAATGTACTACTCCATTAATCCGCTCGCCATAGAAACATTTTATTCCCCTTTGTTTTGCTTGGTTTAGGGCTTATTTGGTTTATTTCCTAAAAAATAGCAACATCCATTTCCATGTAGAAATATTATGTGAGGTTCCGAAACCTCGATCGATTTTTTTGGTGTTGTCTCTGGCCATGATGAGCCTGAAACGATTTTAAGAAGAGTTGCAAGAGAGTCAGAGATTGAGAGTTGAGGAGAAGATTGAGAGTTGAAGAGAAGAGTTCTAATTTCATTCATAATCTATTCACTGACTTTACAATCTCTTATTTATACAACTCAACTCTCAAGTAAAGAAACGTGCACAATTAGTAAATGTGCACAATAGTTTTTTTTAACAGAAAAACAGTCTGTAACTAAAACAGATACATTTATTACAAGAACCCATGTACTTTAAAGTTTTGCATAATAGCCCCCTCCGACTTGCGTGTCAATTCATCTCTTTGCGTATCAGTCCCAACTTCATAGTCTCAGGCTCTTGGCTTAGTTGACAAGTTTCCAAACTAATGATCGGTTCCTGGCAAATTCCTTCCCCTTAAATTGGACCTTGTCTCAAGGTCAATTGTAGGAAACCATTTAACCAAATCCCATTAAGATTCATAAGCACATTGCCGACAGCCTTAGCAGAACATGCTATTCCCAGCAAGCGTGATGCAGATTCATAAGTATCAGAGTCAATATGCCCAAGTAAAACTTTTAACCATGATATACGCTCTGCAAAACGTGCCATGTTTTTGAGAATTGCAATGTAGACCTCGGTTGACGGGCATTCTAGAAAAATGACAGTTTCAAATTCCTCAACATCCAATCCAACGATGCTATCCATATCCTTTACTGACATGATTATAACCTTCTCCCGATTTGTCATGTAGACCATCAGTTAGCGACTCAGTTGATGAGCCATAACCTTCGGCTTTAAGCTTAGATGCAAAAAGCTGCACATTGCTAGCACTGCCAGCTACAAGAAAAACCTTAAGATGCTGAGGGTGGTTTTGGTCAACAAACGCTTGACTAAGAATTTGTGAGGCCTTTGACATCTTTTCATCTTCTGACGAACAAACATGTAAATGTTGTGATACGAATGCGCTTTTACAAACTGCAGAGTCATCAAGGGACAATCTACAAACTGGTTCATTCAGGAGCTGCTGCAAATTACAATAGTGATTTCGAAGTTCCTTTGCAGAAGTCACTGAAAACTACCATCTGAGGTTCTCCAGATATACTCTCTTTGATTAATTTCACCTTATCAGAGAATCCAAACTCTACCAAGCTTTTCAGGCTATCAATAACCAATAGTGAAGCACTAGATACGTCAATGGCCTTCATTTGAACAAGCTCAAGCAGCCTATCTGGAGTCGATACAAGGAATTCAGGTTCACAACTCTTTAATCCCTGAATCTGGTGGTCTATTGAGGCACCTGGATGCAAGCTGACACTATGTATCCCAAGAGCCTTAAGTGGCTTACAGAGTGATCTAACCTGAAGAGCCCTTTGTCGAGATGGTACAAGAAAGATAAAGAAGGGAGTCAGAACGACTAGTCCCCGTTTCTCCTTCCTTGCAATAATGTGAGAAGCAGTAGAGAGCAACCAAGCAAGATGCTAT